GACATAGAAATCTGCTGGGAAAATTAAATCGTTTACCTTAATCAGTACGTTCTTAATGAGGCCTTTGGGATAAATGACGGATCGATCAACGAGTTGAATCAAGACTCTAGTTTCTTTCAAAGGCTCGGCAGAAAGTGAGTTATAAACAGAAAGAGGCATAACATTTATGGAAGCACCCAAATCTCACGTAGCTCGTTTAAATCATACCTTACCGAATTTACAAGGACTAGCGAACATATCTTGGTCTTTTAATTTAGGTGGAAGCCTATGTTGAAAAATAGCTAATACGTTCTCACCTAGATTTAACGTTTCATTGCCAGTAAGTCTCATTTTGGTTGTGCAAAGATTTTTCAAGAATCTGGCATATCTCGGTACTTTTCGGATTACCTCAAAAAGCGATATATTTATCTCCACTTTCTGAAAAACATCAAGAATCTTTTTTTTCCCTCAACTTGTTTGTCGCATTTAACTAACCTTAAAGGAAATAGAGGTGGGATGGCATAGGGAGATGTTGCAGAAAAGGTTAATGATACATTTTTCTTTTGTGATCTTGCTTATTCTTCTTTTTCTTTCTCCCCTATGACAATTTATTTTTTATGGGAGCCTGCGATAACATTTTTTTTTCTTGGGACCTTGCGACATCATCTTCATGGATTAGTGTAAGAATAGTTCCACTCCAAAGGGTGATGACACTGATTTTTTTCTCGTATATTTGCTTCGTTTTGATATGGTAGTCTTCCCTGCGATTTCATTCATCTCATGGTCTAGGCCAAGTGAGTCATCTGCTATTCTGCTTATCTAACTCTTATAAATGAGCTTCGGTTCGATTTTGAAAATTCTCTTAAGATAGTGCCAATCGCTCAACGATGAACTCCAATGATGATTTCGACGGTTGGAACTAAGGGGTATTTATAACCCCAAAAGTTCTAAGTAAATAAAATGACTAATTCCTAATCAAACTAAAAGTCCTACCAAGAGTTCTAATAAAATAATCAAACTAAAAATCCTAAATCCAAAAGGTTTATCACAAAAGATAAAAATAAATATTTAAGTCTTGTACTTCTGGTTGAATTCTGCTTCATCTTATGGATAACCTTACGCCATGTAAATTTTAATTAAATATTCAAGATGCTGACTAGACCATCGAAATCTGCTACTTTTTGGGCTAATTAATCCAATAAAGCTCATATCCAAAATAAACTCAAAATAAATATAAATCAGTAATATTTAATAAAAAAATGAGTAAATAACAATAAATATATGCAATATAAAACACTCATCATACAACGTTTTCGTTTATCTTCGCCCAATTCGTCGTCACCCAATTATTCTTAATAAAAAAAATGGGCAAACTACACGTTTAGTACATAAACTATTACTTTTATTATATTTTACTATCTCAAGTTTCAATTTTTTCAAAACCATACCTAACATTTACTTTTTGTTTCATTCCGTTAAAAAGTTAATAGCAAGACTGACGTGGTATTTTTTATTTGGGTAAAATACACAGTTCATCACTCAACTATCTTCTCACTTCTATTTTGGTCACTAAAGTGTAAAAATTTTGAATTTAATCATTAAACTTTTGAATTGCTTCTATTTTGATCCTCTCTAATGACATGTACTATATTATTATTATTATTAGTATGACATGATAAATTAATTAATATTTAATATAAAATAATATTTAAAATAAAAATAAAAAATTATAATGTTAATACAACCCTTAATTCTCAAACCCCAATCTCACCGACATCACCCTCCGACCACCATATAAGAATCCCTTGAAAAATCGTTTGCGAACCAGAAACAAATGAACACAGAGAAACAAATTTAAGTGTTAAGAATACAACAACCACCATCACCTTCACAAAGACAAGTTAAGAAAAATGTAAACATTGCTCAATACTCATAATTGAAACCACAAAAAGCTTAGAATTTTTTATATAAAAAAAAACAACAACAATAAAAGGGAAATCACATAAAGTGGATGAAAATGAAGTATTCATCCATGCTTCCTCATTTCCTCTTAAAATGTTGCAGTTTCAAAAAAGTAAAACTAAAATAAAGAATAGAAAAAGAGTATGAAACAAAAACAAAAAAAAATCTAGGTATGGACTTCCCCTTATTTTCCAGGCAAAATAAAGATAACATGTTTCACTAGATCCCCAAACAAACAAAAACATAATTACCCCATTTTTAATTTCACGTGCCTAATGATAAAATCAAAATAAAAATAATAAAAAAAGAACTAGAACTTGATGAAGATAGGTATGGACTGCAAGGTTATTTTTTATTTTTTGTGTAGTTTCACTCATTTGTATCACTACCTCATGCAAGGGAAGATAAGGAAATGAAAGAAAAAACAAGGGCTAGTCTAAGTTTTTGGGTATTTTATGTTTCATGAAGATGAAGTTAAGGATAGATTGTTCAAAAAAAAAAAGTCCAGGATGGTTTTAGATCGGCGTTGGGGTTTGGAGATTTTGGATTAAGATTAATGATTTTGATTTTAAATTTAATGTGACATTAATAATAATAAATTTGTCACGCCATACTAAAAATAACAATAAAATAATCCACATCATCAAAGAGATATCAAAATACAAGTAATTTGAAAGTTTGATGATTAAATTGAATTTTTTTAAATTTTAGTGACCAAAATAGAAATGATAAGATAGTTGAGTGATAAATCGTGTAATTTATCCAAATAAAAATATCACATTTGTGTATTTAACTTTTTAACGATGGGTACTAAAATTTATACAGTAACGTATCACTAAAATTCTATGTCATGTTAATGGAAGATAAATCGAACATTCCTTTGTGGAAAAGCATGTTGAGTCTGTGATCCTTGCCAAGGTAATCAAATACAGGCAAACCATTGGCCCTCTTAAATGGAGATCCACCTTCCGACACTGCATCTTTCAAGTGAAATCTGTAAACATTCCGGCGTACAATAATCTTAGGTGACGTTTGATTCGCTGGAATCTCTTAGAATTAGGGGAATTAGAATTCAATCACATCACTTTCTCATGTTTGGTTCGCTGGAATCCTTTGGAATTAGGGGGAATATGAATCCAATTCCACCACTTTCCCATGTTTAGTTTAAGTTTTCAAATGGGGAATTGGAATCCAATTCCATCAAGGGAGGGAAAGTAAATTTCATCCATAACATGATGGAATTGAAATCCTTTGGAAGAGGAAATATGAAATTTGACCATACTACCCTCATCAATCTTTTGGTATTCAGGTCAGATTTTTTTAAAAAAAATTTGGGATCGGGTCGGAATGGGTTTTTTTAAGTGTGATATTCGGGTCGGTTCGGATTTTTTTAAGTATGATATTCGGGTCGGTCGGGTTTTTTTTAAGTGTGATATTCGGGTCGGGTTCGGGTTTAGGGTGAAAAATACCTGACCCGACCCAAAAAATATATATAATTTTACCTTATATATTTAGGAATAATTACAATAATACCCCTCTATATATAATTTTTTCGATTAAGTCACTATTTTTATTGAATAAAAATAATTTTTTTATTATTTCGGGTCGGGTCGGGTTTCTAATTCATATATTCGGGTCGGGTCTCGGGTGGAGGTTCCCTTGTTCTCGGGTCCGGTGGACCAAAAATCCGACCCAACCCGACCCATGACCATCCCTAATTAGGATGATTTTAACTTATGATGTTTATTAGTATGATTTCTATAATTTATTGAAATGAATAATCAATCAATAAAATGAAATTTTAATATTTTTTAAAATTTTATAATAAATTGCTACATGTAAGTTATAAAACAAATTAAAATTAAGCAAAAAATAAGAAGGGCAATTCTGTCATTTTACATTACTGAAATCAAATTCATCTGACATGTCTGCGAACCAAACAAAATATGGAATTGGATTCCAATTCAATTTCATGTCAACCAAACATGTTTCAGATTCATATTCTAATTCCTACAGATTCCAATTCCTTCACATATTCCAATTCCCTCATAAACATTCCAGCAAACCAAACGTCACCTTACTCCAACATATATTGAACCACAAATAATAGTAAGGGTAAACTATCCTATATACCACTAAAATTTAGGTGGTGTATCGTTTAGATTACTAAACTTTTAATTTATCAAATTATAACACTTAATTTTAATTTTAACTTTAATTGTGTCACTGAGATCTTAAATTTTAACGGCATAATGGCATGGATGGATCTTTCAGTTATTGTGATGATATGGACAAAACAACATCGTTTTAGGCATTGAACTTTAGGGGTGTATCTATTTTGCTACTAAACTTTAAAATTTTTTAGTTTTTACACTAAAATTTTCAACCTCAATTGGCAGTCAATTGTTGTCTGTCACCGACCGTCTTTCACAAGAAGATTAGTAAGAAAATGTTTGCATTTCACTCCTGTTTCTTCTCGTCGGATTATTTTTCTATGAAACCCACTTAAAATCGACGAAAATACATTTAAAGGTTCGATGTGCTAATACTCCAATCTCCTTCGCTGGATGTTCGACGAGCTAGCTTTGAGGTATGTTGTCCATCTTCTCAAAATAATATGTCGAACAAACACCTCAACCCTTAAATCTAAGAAAGCTCCAAACCCTAAAAATAGTTAAATTTTAAGTTTAATTTCATTGATTTTGAGTGGGTTTAGTAAAAAAAAAACAATCATAGGATCGATATATATTTTGATATTGAACTTGTCTCAAAAAACGACATGTGGTGAGTAGTGATTGAATGCTAGCATGTTAAAACAAGTACAATGAAAAAAATAAATTATTTAAAAGTTTAGTGGCAAAAATCAAAACACCCATAAACTTCAGTACTTAAAACGACGCCATTTTTTCATTAATAGCTATATCAAAACAATGTTGTTTTATTCATATCATCACACCGTTTAGATTTTAACGGTTTAGTTACATAATTGAAGTCAAAACCAAAAATTAGTATTATAATTAAAAAAATTAAAAGTTTAACAATATATAAACCGCCTAAAGTTTAGTGGAATCTAGTATAATTTACCCTAATAGTAATACGGTGGAAACAGGGACACCATCCTCGTTCTTGGTCAAGAATTTGCAGACGGGACCGAGAACATAGAGTCTCTCGACTTTGCCGTCGGGAAGAGTGCGCAAGGAGCAAGTGAGGACGGAGTAGCTGGATAGCAGACGAAACATGCGGTCTAGCATGAAAGGCGCATCAGGGTTGGTGGTTGGGAGCCGGGAAGCCACTTCTTTCGTAGACAGCAAAGCTCCCGGACCGGCTTTGGCCATGATCTCCAGCAAATCGAGTTCTATAGCCGACTTCAAGATCATGGGCAAGGCCGATGCAAAGGACAGTTGCAAGGCCGTCAACATTGCTTCCTCATCGGAGACATGAGTGGAGGAAGAAGTGGGTTGGCTTGAATCCATTGTTTTCTCTGCTCCCAAACCCTAAAAAAACCAAAGAGATTGCAGAGAATGAAGAGTAGACGGGCTTGACCATATAACACCGAGCAGTGTGTATATGCAAGGTAGGGACAGAATTAAAATACAATTTAAAATAAAGTAAATTAATAATAGAAAATGAGATAAGCCACCGTAAATTAAAGTACCATTTCCATAGTGGCGGCTTGAAAGCCTACGTTATAAAAAAAAAGTGACAGCTATTAGTATTGTGACAGCAATTGAAGATTTTATATTGGGACGACGATGGGTATAATTTTAGTAGATAGTGGGCGGTGTAGATTTAGAAAGTAATACTCGTAGTGGGTAGTGATCGGGTAATGGGTTTGAGATATTATTCTCTTTGCATCCGCCCACCCAACTAAATATCCATTAAATTTTAGATTATTATGAATTTAGGTGTACTTTTATAAACTAATTTATAAATCCTAATATCGTATAACATATAACTTGTAATTTAACCAAATATTAGGGATAAGTTTATGCATAAATTTTGTTTCTTTCAAACCTCTGATCTCCACTTTCCAACTTATTCAGGTACGTTTCTTCCATTTTTACTTGAAATTTAATTTTTGTAAGAGCAATTTTCGTAGTCATTTAGTTTTAAGCTCCTCTGTATTTTGTTTTAAGAGTTTAATTTTTATTTGTTCATACTGATTTTTAATTATTTTTTAGATTCATCTCAATGTTTGTTTTAAGTTTAATTTCTTAATGTTCTGCAAATCAGTATCTTATCACTTATATTAGTTTTGCTTTCTATTATATATGTAGGTAGTAGTGAATTTAAAATGGAGTGCTCTCAGTTGGAGGAAATAAAGAATGATGAGTGTAATACTAGAGTATTAGATGTCACAAATATTGCATGAAATTTGAGAATGTTGTGCCAAAGAACAAAAATATTATGTGTTTGTCATTTATGTTTCTAGGCTTTAATTATGTTTTTTATTATGGTGTTTTATGAGAATGATGATTGTAATACTGGAGTATCAGATGTCATAAGTATTGCTTTAAATTTTAGAATATTGTGCCAAAGAACAAAAACATTATATGTTTGTCATTTATGTTTCTAGACTTTAATTATGTATTTTATTATGTTGTTTTATGTACTTTAAGATCTATATTAACACTTAACTCAAATACTCATTGATTTATTTTAGAGAAAATCGCCTCAGTGACCAAAAAAAAGTTATAATATACGATTTTAACCAACTTTTTTTGGATTTGCCAAAATGACCAACAAAATCGCAACGCGAAATAAAAATCGCAACGCGATCCCCAGAATCGCAAATCAGTTTCCAAAATCGCAACGCGATTCTTGAAAATCGCAATGCGATAGTACAAATTCGCATTGCGATTTTCCAAAATCGCAACGCGAATATGAAAATCGCAACGTGAACACATAAATCGCAACGCGTATCCGTAAATCGCAACGTGTATCCGTATATCGCAACGCGTATCCGTAAATCGCAACGATAATACATAAAATCGCAACGCGTATCCGTAAATCGCAACGCGATATTTAAAGCGCCATTATAATCGCTACGCGTATTTTATTTTCAAATTACAAAAACCAATATTAAGACAAAATCCCGTAATCGCAACTCATAACCTAAAACCTAAAATCACAACTCAGTCTCATCTCCATCTCTCACTCTCTACGGCGAAGAAATCCGTCCCCATCTCCGAAGATTTCCGTCCCCATCTCCGGCGAAATCCCTCACAACCATTCACGGTCAGAAATCCCTCACAATATTCAGAAATGGAAAATCAGCCTCCGAGGGTTAGTTTTTTTAATTATTTTTATTTTGAAATGTTTGCATTATTGTAGGTTTTTCATATTGAAACTGATGATAAGTTTACTGGTCATTTCAATAATAGATTAACCATTTCACTTAGATTTCATTTCGCGTTACGATTCTGTCGTTGCGATTTTCATTTCGCGTTGCTATTCTCTCGTTGCGATTTTCAAGTTAGTATTTGTCTTTGTCTTTGTTCTGTCTTTTGGTTGAAGTAATACAATCCATTCAAGTTTCAATTTGCAGAAGAGTCGCAACGAGATAAATGAAAATCGCAACGAGAGAATGACTGTCGCAACGAGAGAAATGAAAATCGCAACGAGAGAATCGCAACGCGAAACCAAAATCGCATTGCGATTTTCATTTCGCGTTGCGATTCTCTCGTTGCGATTTTCATTTCGCGTTGCGATTCTCTCGTTGCGATTGTCATTTCGCGTTGCGATTCTCTCGTTGCGATTTTCATTTCAACCAAAAGACAAAACAGTGTTGCAAATTTTAGTTTCAAGAATAAACTACTACTTTTTATGTTTATTGTTTTTGGTATATCTTCATAGTGTAGTTTTTGGTATATCTAACTTGGTATGTTTATTGTTTTTGTAGAAATTTTTTTCGGCTCAATTGACCTTGAGAAATAAAGTCAGCCTGGCCACTACAATTGCTTCGAAGCTTTCACCTGCTCAAAGACAATTGTTTGAGGAAACCTGCTTCGGGCCATGGCTGAGAGTACAGCATCCGGGTGGAGATGCTAATTTGACCCATTTGTGGCTTCAGACCATGACATCAAATCTACCCGACAGTATACAACGTGGTGAGGAAGAGATATGGTTTCATTTTCCACCAGCGTATACTTGTTTTGGGCGGAAGGAGTTCTGCTTAATCACTGGTCTACGATTCGGACACGATGATGTAGGCCGGTACACTCGTCATATCGCCCGCCCATCATGGTTATCCCGGGTTTTTCCGGATGAGTCAATGGAGAAGCCGAACCTACATGTCGACGACCTGAAGAAATTGTTTAATAAGAAAGCTGGTTTCACTCGGATGGATGACGTCGATGTTGTCCGAGTATGCCTTCTACTACTTGTGTATGCCGGCTTTTTAGGCAGAGAGGCCAGACAACCTATTCATCGGGAGCTAATAATATTGGTAGAGGACCTGAATGCATGGAATCTGTTTCCGTGGGGTTCGTATATATGGAAAGCTACCTGGACTAAGTTGTCGTCTGCCTTTGATGACCGCAAAAGTTTGCGGGGCGATGGGTCCAAATACACTTTATCAGGCTTTGTTTGGGCCTTTAAGGTAAGAATTTCTATATAATGTTTCTAAAATTATAATTAATTATTTAACAATTACTAATTTTGTTATTATATTGTTTGTAGATTTGGATATTCGAGGCTTTCCCCAGCATGCGTACATATGCAATAAAAACGTCAAATGATATTCCCAGGGCTATTTCCTGGAAGAGGAAAACTCTGTTGGATTGGGAAGACTTAATACCATATGCGACAATAAATAATGTAAGTTAACACAAATACTTTCATATAATATATAAACAAGTTATTAATAGTAGACGTTTAACTTTGTTTGAGTTTTTATATTTTAGGAGGCCAACATTCCATTACAAAGACTGACACCCACGGAGGAAGAGCTTGCCACTGATTGGTGGCAAGCTAGTCAGAGTTTTTTTGATGGCACGGATGATGAGCAGCATCCACTTCCTCCAATTCAAGAGCCATCACCTCACCTAGAGCCATCACCCGATCGACCCGACTATACACCTCTAGAACGAGAGCCATCACCTATCCCGTCACATCATCGAGCCTCTTCTCCACCATCACCTCATGATAGGCGACCAGCAAAGATGCCACGACTCCTATCTCCCTGTTCTCCACCTCCACCTCAACGGGATGAGTCAAGGGAGTTACGTGATGAGGTCAATGCCTTGCGTGAGGAGATCGGTACTCTACGCGATAACGATGGTGCATGGCGTGTGGAGGTGTCAACTTTACGTGGTGAGGTTGCCGCTCTACGTGAGATGATAGTATCGTTGCAGAATGAGGTTCATACTCTATGCAACGAGGTAAGTTTAAGATTTTCCATATTTAACTTAATGATAAATTTACTCGTAATTTCACTTAGATTAGCCATTTCACTTAGATTGCTTAGTAAATTTATTCGGTTGCTGCCAATTCTGCTAAACTGTGTATTCTTTAACACTGTGAAATAGTATTTGTCTTTGTTTTGTCTTTTGGTTGAAAGTAAATTTGTTCGGTTGCTGCCAATTCTGCTAAACTGTGTATTCTTTAACACTGTGAAATAGTATTTGTCTTTGTTTTGTCTTTTGGTTGAAAGTAAATTTGTTCGGTTGCTGCCAATTCTGCTAAACTGTGTATTCTTTAACACTGTGAAATAGTATTTGTCTTTGTTTTGTCTTTTGGTTGAAAGTAAATTTGTTCGGTTGCTGCCAATTCTGCTAAACTGTGTATTCTTTAACACTGTGAAATAGTATTTGTCTTTGTTTTGTCTTTTGGTTGAAAGTAAATTTGTTCGGTTGCTGCCAATTCTGCTAAACTGTGTATTCTTTAACACTGTGAAATAGTATTTGTCTTTGTTTTGTCTTTTGGTTGAAAGTAAATTTGTTCGGTTGCTGCCAATTCTGCTAAACTGTGTATTCTTTAACACTGTGAAATAGTATTTGTCTTTGTTTTGTCTTTTGGTTGAAAGTAAATTTGTTCGGTTGCTGCCAATTCTGCTAAACTGTGTATTCTTTAACACTGTGAAATAGTATTTGTCTTTGTTTTGTCTTTTGGTTGAAGTAATGCAATCCATTCAAGTTTCAATTTGCAGAAGAAGAAATAGTTTACTTTCGCAACACGAAACTTAAAATCGCAACGCGAAACCAAAATCGCAACGCGAAATGAAAATCGCAACGACAGAATCGCAACGCGAAACCAAAATCGCAACGACAAGATCGCAACGCGAAACCAAAATCGCATTGCGATTTTCATTTCGCGTTGCGATTTTCATTTCGCATTGCGATTCTGTCGTTGCGATTTTCATTTCGCGTTGCGATTTTGGTTTCGCGTTGCGATTTTAAGTTTCGTGTTGCGAAAGTAAACTATTTCTTCTTCTGCAAATTGAAACTTGAATGGATTGCATTACTTCAACCAATAG